TAGGGAGGGTCCGAGTCTTCTTCTTCTTTTGAAGAGGAAGTGGCGATTGTTGGGGCTGAAGGGGAATCTTCAAAAAAGGCGCCTGAACAGGAGACTGTTCATAGCAATCAAGTGTCCCCTCCCCAGCAAGAGAAGGTGGCTGCTGAAGGCGAGGTCCCTCCCACTATTTAAGCTTTTCTGTCTTTAAACTTGATCCGGCCTGCGTGCCGTGTATTTATGTATCTTTACCCGGCCAGGGGCCCGGGGCTTCTGAATATTTGCCAGCTTGTCTGGTTTTAACTTTAACTTTGCCAGCTTGTTTGGCTTTAATTTGACATGAATTGGCGACTGTTGAGTCGTCTTTTGCTGTTACATAAGCTATTTTTTGATTTTATATTTTTGTTGAATTTTCCAAACATTTTGCACTTCGCAACTTAATAGCCTGAATGGCGCATCCATGTTAAACTTTTTACCTGAGATGTTGCACTTTGATGCCGACTGCCCTTGCCCCTGGACGACTAGGTTACTTCTTGAAAATAGAGTAATTAGTCGGCCATAGACAATCGGACTCTAGTAGCAAACATAACCAGCCTTGATTGAAATGCACTTAGTCACAGTGGTAAGGTACCGACTGAATTAACCAACTTGTAGCGCATTTCAAGACACAGGGGTTTGCCTAGTTCTTAGAGAACAGTCGGCTAGTCACTGTTTTATCGATTGTCATAAGTCCCTTAGTATTTTACGAGAGACATAGTAGGTGTTATCACATCCAGTCGGACACCGAGAGGTCCTTCTAGATTGCTTAGATTCATTTAGTATTTCTTAGTAGGAATGCTTGTTTAAGTGCCTTTTTTTCCAAAGACCAGGCGGACTGCTCAAACTTATTAGGATTCCAAACCAAGTATGGGAGAACAACTATGGTTTAACTATGGCGTTAACCAATTGTGGCTGCTCCTAATCTTGAGTAGTAGCGGTATCAGTCGTCAGTGGCCGACTAATCCCCTTGATTCGTCAATTTTTGTTGACTATTAACTCAGAGGGCGCCTCCTGTATCTATCCCAAGTAATACAGGTGGCTATCCGACGCAGATGTCAACTGCTGACACTTATGAAAGTGTAAAGTTATCCATGTCTCAAAACAGATACGTTGTCCTTGAGGACAGCCGTATAGGGGCCGTGTAAGTAGTTTATAGAGCATTATTCCACCCAAATGGGAGCTGCTCTCTGCGACGAATCTCATCCAAATGGCATGTCGTCGGACGCCTGCTATTTATTGGGACAAGTCGTATTAATTTAAAAATTAAGCGTAATCAAGCGGCTTGGTGCATGGGTTGATTAGCCGTATGGTGGGCAAACAGGCGTGCCCTTTAGCAAGTATGTGATGGAGGGTATCCGCCTGTCTTGAGACAGGCGGAGTGTACTCCTTTTTGAAACATATAAAAAGAGGATAAACTTGGAATCTTTCATTAATAAACTTTAATTGATTACATCAAAAGTAATATTTTTTCAGATTATCTACATTCCAAGTCCTAGGTAGGGGTCGGCCCTTTGGAGTTTCCAGATGGTAGGTACCGTCCCTAACCTCCTCATATATTCGGTAGGGTCCTTCCCAGTTAGGAGTTAGTTTTCCCAACTCGTTGGCCCTGCCGACTGATTCCATCTTCCTTAGTACAAAGTCCCCTACTTTGAGTGGGCGCTTGTGTACTCTTCTATTGTAGATTTGAGTCATTCTCAGGCGGTATATTTCATGGCGTAGGGCAACATTGCCCTTACGTTATGGAAGGGAATCCAATGCTAGGCGCATTGCTTCCCAGTTTGCATCTTCATCATACAACATAACTCGGAGAGTCTGCTCATAGTGCTCAATGGGTAGGACAGCTTCTGCCCCATATGTTAGGAGGAAAGGTGTTTCTCCAGTCGCTCCCTTTTCAGTCGTCCTTATGGCCCAGAGAACATGTGGTAGTTCGTCTGCCCATAGGCCGCCTGCTTTCTCAATTTTCTTCTTTATACCATCTGAGATGATTTTGTTAAATGCTTCGACCTGGTCGTTTGCTTGAGGCCGTCCGATTGATGCAAAACAGTAAGTAATGCCTTGATCTCTCAACCAAGTTTTGAGAACGGGCGTCTCAAACTGGGGACCGTTGTCAAAAACCATGGACATAGGCACCCCGAACCGAGTGATCACATTCCTCCAAATGAAGGAGATGACATCCTTGGTCTTGATGCCCTTGACTGCTTCGGCCTCCACCCATTTGGTGAAGTAGTCGACTACTACCAGGATGTATCTCCCGCCGCCTGATGCAGGCGTATAGGGTCCTAGAATATCCATGCCCCACTTAGCAAATGGTATTGGGCTGTGGATAGCCGTTAGATCTGTAGCTGGACGATGAATCAATTTGCCAAACCTCTGGCACTTGTCGCACTTTTTAACCAGATCCATGGCATCTGCCTCCAGAGTCGGCCAGAAGTACCCTTGCCGCCTCACTCTCTGAGCAAGAGACCTACTGCCTATGTGAGAGGCACAATATCCAGAGTGTAGGTCTTCCAGGACCTCTCGCCCTTTTTCTGGGGTAACACATTTCAAGAAAGGTTTAAGGTACCCTCTCTTGTAGAGTTCTCCCTTTATCATTTAAAAACTGGACGCTCGTTTCTTTAGTAAGGCCGCCTGATGATGATCATTCGACAAGGTGCCGTCAGTCAGGTATGTCCTGATTGGGTCCATCCATGTTGAGCTTCTATCAAGGACTGCAACGTTATTTTCCTCAATACTCCGCTTTTCCATTACTTCCCTGAATACAGTTCTAGGAGTTTCGCATGAGGCCGAGGATGCCAGTTTGGACAAGGCGTCCGCCTGGTATTCTCAGACCTTGGGACCTGAGTTAACTGGAAATCTTCGAGCGAGCTTGCCGCCTATTTCACGGCTTCTAGGTACTTGACCATAGCCGGATGAGTGGCTTCATAATCCCCATTGTACTGGCTGACTATGAGTTGTGAATCTGAACGGGAAGCTATCTTTCTTGCCCCGGCTGCTTTGCACATGCGGATACCAGCCAAAAGGGCTTTGTACTTAGCTTCATTGTTTGACGTCTGAAACTTGAAACGAAGAGCATATTCATACCTGTCACCCTCTGGCGACTGACATACAATACCTGCCCTACAACCATTTGCTGTGGAACTCCCATCAACATAGACTTTCTAGGGTTGGTCAATTTTTTCAGTTTCTAGGGGCCGGGTCATCTCAACTATAAAGTCTGCAAAGGCTTGCCCCTTCACAGCTTTTTTGGGCTCGAACGCGACCTCAAGACTTTGGATCTCAATTGCCCACTTTATGATCCGCCTTGACGGCTCCATGGTCGTCAGGGGCCGCTTGATTGGCTGGTTTGTGTAGACGACCACCAGATGTGCCAGGAAATAAGGCTTCAATTTTTTCACTGCCATGTACAGGGAGAGTCCAAACTTCTCCACTAGTGGGTACCTCAACTCTGCATTCTTTAAAACATGACTGACAAAATAGACTGGGAGTTGGCAACCGTCTCTTTTAGCTAAGAGGACGGCACTTAAAGCATGATCTGATACCGCGAGATACATGTAAAACACTTCTTTTGGCAAAGGGCTGACGAGTCTAGGCAGAGAATGCAGATGTTCTTTTAGCTTTTGGAGGGCCGACTCAGCATCCGATCCCCATTCAAACTTTGCTTTCTTTCTGATTGCCTGGAAAAAGTAGAGGCACTTGTCGCCTGCCCGACTGAGAAACCTTCCGAGGGCGGCCAGGCAGCCTGTTAGCTTCTGTACCTCTCGAACGGTGCGAGGCGACTATATGTCAATGACCACCTGCACCTTATCAGGATTTTCCTCTATTCCCCTTTGATTTATGAGGAATCCGAGAAACTTCCCAGACACAACTCCAAAGACACACTTTTTTGGATTAAGCATGACTCGGTGCCGCCTGAGTGTGGCGAATGTTTCTCGGAGGTCTGCCAGATGGTCCGTTTGAAGTTTTGACTTTACAATCATATCATCAATATACGCCTCAACATTTCTTCCAATTTGATTAAAGAACACAGTGTTGATCATTCTTTGGAAGGTTTCCGGGGTGTTCTTCAGACCAAACAACATGACCGTGTAACAATAGAGCCCTTGTTCTGTGACGAAGGCAGTTTTCTCTTGATCTTTCTTCCATAGAGGGATCTGGTGAAAGCCTGAATAGGCGTCCATGAAACTCATCAAGGCATGGTCGGCTGTTGAGTCGACCAAGCTGTCGATCTTTGGCAAAGGATAGGTGTCTTTCGGACACGCCTTGTTTAAATCAGTGTAGTCCACACACATGCGCTAGGAACCATTCGGCTTCTTGACTAGCACAACATTTGCAACCCATTCTGGGTAGAAACACTGCCGAATGTATCCCGCATCAATTAACTTTTTTACCTCGGCGGCGGTCGCCTGATTCCTTTCTTCACCATGATGCCTTTTCTTCTGTCGTACCGGTTTCTTTTTTGGGTCGACAGCTAGCTTGTGTACCGCCAGGTATGGACTAATACCTGGCATCTCATGCACCTCAAATGCAAATATATCTTGGAATTCTTTCAACAGTTGGCGAAGGTCATTGCCAAGTTCAGTTAGAGCAGTCGTACCCACCTTAACAGTTCGGTCTGGCCGACTGTCATCGAGGGCGACATCAACATGCTCCCCAGCTGGCAGAGGGCGGAATTTATCCGGCCGCTCCTCAGCCAGTGATTGCTATTGCTTATGCTTTTTTTGGACCTCCGCCTCAGAGGCTTTTCTCTTCCTGCCGCCTGCCTCTTGGGCAGACGCGTCTTCTATGGCTTTGCCAGTTTGGCTGTCTGAAGTTACCGTTGTTTTGATGTCAGTGAGGTAACATTCTCTGGCCATTATGTGGTCCCCCCTTATGGAGCCGACTGTTTTGTCGTCCTTCTCAAACTTGAGCAACATAAGGGATGGAATGATAACTGCTTTGGAGTCATTAAGGGTGAGGCGCCCAAGGATCATGTTGTAGGCAGTAAGTTATTCCACAACCAGAAAACGAATGACCATGTGGCGGCCCTCACCTCTCTCACCCAGACGGACGGGCAAGTCAACTTGACCAATCGGATGGACGACTCCCCCTCCAAATCCTACGAGAGGATGGGAGACAGGCTGTATGCTCTCAGGCCTGTACTTGAGCTTGGTTAAGCACTTATGGCTGATGAGGTCCGACAAACTCCCTATATCAATAAGAATTCTGTCGACTCTTTGGTTGGCCACTTTGCACTCAATGACAATTGGGTCGTCATGCGGCCGTCGGACACCACCAGAATCTTTCTCAGAAATAATAACCTCAAGAAACAAGGTACCAGAGGTCTCACCCCGATTAACAGACTTAACATCTAACTGCCTGATGCTATCCTTGTTTCCCCGAACAGTCGAGCCTCCCCCTGCATAGCCGCCTGCTATTGTATAGATGGTAGCTTCATCAGTGTTAGAGCTGTCAGCCGACTTCTGTCTTTTTTGCCTGGCCGACTGATTCTGATTGGGGGGCCGTTTTTCTTTAGGATTCTTGACATAAGATTCCAGATCGCCTTTTTCAGCCAACTGATCCAGCAGACGCTTGAGACTAATGCATTCGTTGGTCTCATGCCCAACGTCATCATGAAAATGGCAGTGTTTGCCTTGGTTGCGCTTGCTAGGATCACCCTTCATAGGTGCCGGCTTCTCAAGTGAGAGTCGGCCCTTAACTTCTTTGAAAATAGCATGATTATCTTTGTTGAACTCATACTTGGGAGAATAGGGAGTGAACTCTTTTCTTTTCTTACTGGACGGCTGACCAGTGGAGTCGGCCATCCAAACATCTTTTCTCTTCTTATCTTCCTTGGGGGCCGCTTTCTGTGAGCGACTCTCCTTTTTCTCGGACCTTTTCTGGTCCCCTTGCTTTCCCATGTGATAGAGGTCGACTGCCTGTATGTAGGTCTCGGCCTCCATCATTGCCTCTTGAAGAGTAGCTACTCTTTTTCTGACTAAGTCGAACTTGAAGTTCGACCCGTCCTTCAATCCCTTGAAGAAGTCGGTATAGGCTACTTCATTCGGCAAGTTGGGTATTTGTATCCTCATCAGATTGAATCTCTTTATGTAGGAGCGTAATCCCTCCTTTTCTCCCTGCTGGACGGCTCCTAGATCAAGAGTCGTCTTCCTGGAAGGTATGTTCATAGAAAAGTTTGATGCAAACAAATAGGCCAGTGTTCTGAAGTTGTTGACACAGCCGGCCGACAGATTGCCAAACCACTGCTGGGCGACTCCCTTCAGAGTGGCAGGAAAACATCTACACCATGTGGCATCGTCCAATCCTTGAAGGTACATTAGATTGGTGAAGGCCATAAGATGATCCTCTGGGTTAGCAGTGCCATCGTAGGCGCCTATTAACACATTTTTCACTTTAGCCGGCTGGGCAGCTTGTAAAATTTCCTTGGAGAAGGCGGTTGGCTGTTCTCCCAGTTGGAGTAGCCGTAACTGCCAGTCCAAAGGCTGGAAATTCTTAGCCATCTGACCTCCAAAAGGAGGAGGTGGCAGAAAGTAGTGAGTTTGCGGCACATATGGCGGCTGAGTGACATATGGTGCCGACTGTTGTTGGTGAGAGCTAGAACCGGAGTGTGTACTGCCTGTCCGGATCTCATAGTTTGACCTTGAATGATTCATAGAGTTGTTTTTTACACTGTCAAGAAAATCAGAAGTGGAGGCCGACTCAGACTGCTGTTGGCTCCTTTTATGCTGAATCAACAGCCGAGCGTCTGAGTAGGATTTCTTTGAGCCGTCTGGTTGGACCAGGCGGATTGGTTTCCTTCCCAATGAGGTAGAGATACGATGCTTGGACAAATTGAGTAGAGGTACCCGCCTCTCCTCTTGGCGAGGGTGGGGGGTTGCCTCACGGTCCTTCAATGACTTCTTCTTTCCTGAATAGGAAAACTTTTTGCTCGACTGCCCTTTTTGGGGGACAGCCGTCTTTTGGTTGATGAGATCTTTAATCTCACCCTTGAAACTTCTCATGATGGTCATAAGATCATTCCTCGAGACAGGAGCTGTCTAGTCGGCCGCTTGGTGAGAGTCGGCCGATAGTCCAACTGTTTGGCCTGGACCAGCCTGGTCTTGCCTTTCCTGCCTTTCACGAGGGGTAGTGCGTCGAGCTCTCAAGGACCCGTCTAAGGCCGTGCGAGTCTCAACCTCAGGCTTAGTGTCCTGATCAGAAGAGACGTGAGGCTCGTCTTCTTGGTAGTCGTCCTCTAGACGCCTGTCACCATTAGTCGGTACAGATTGCAATGCCATCTCAAAGGTACTCTCCCCACAGACGGCGCCAAAATGTTTCGGGGTTTTCTGTGTCCCTTGGGAGAGTTACAACTTCAAGGCTGGAATCACGCGCCTGTACTTGCAAGATAACGGAGACTCCTTGGGTAGGGAGCTCCACCTCCAACGATCAAGTTAGTAGATGAAGGAGTTTTAAAGCAGAATGTAAATGGGTGCCGGATGCTAGGACGGGTCTAGCAGGCGGTATAGAGTAGTGTGTGATTGTCTTGGGATTTGTGTAATCCGATTGTTTCTTGTGAACAGTCTCTCTGCCATAAATGAGCATTTATGACCGTATTTATAGCCTTGGGAAGCGTGCCAGGTTCTAGGGTTTTGGCCAACCCTAGGACTGACTGGGCTTTCTTGGGAATTGGGCCCAACCTATTACCTGTTTAGGCAAGGCTGAGAGGGCCACATGGCGCCATAGGAGGTCCATGGTGGACCAATGGAAGCGTGCCACGTGGCAGGTCCTGATAAGCCCAACTAGGTGACACTTGTCAGGCCCTCATTGGTCCACGTGGCGAGAGGTAATTAAGGCAAAATCTCCCTAATCATTTATGATGTAAATTGGTTGCTTAATTTGGATATCTCTTAAATTTACATAAACTTGGATTTATTCATTCTTGCAATTAGATTGCTTGTAATGTGTAAGTTTATGTTGAAAATTATTTTTGAACCCTTTAAATAGTTAAAGATCTAGTCTTTAATGGTTTAAATGGTTGAATCTTAACTTGCTGAAATCCAAAGTGAACAAATTTTTAGTTTTAATCATTTTGGAAGTTGATTAAAATCATGAATGTTCATACTTGTCCTTGAAATGCTATTCTTCATATTGGAAGTTTGTAATATTCAAATGTGCATGAGTATATGTTGGATAAATTATTTTCATTGGATGATTGATTATTTATTCAACTAATTTTATCAAATCTCATTACTAATTTCATTTTTGGTCAAATTAATTATGAAACAAGCCCTCAATTTTTATTGCATCATGTTGAGCTAAAATTGTTAAAAGAATTGTTCTTAAATAAATTTTGGTTTTAGCACTAAAATTGGATTAATTAAGTTAGACTTGTTTTAGTTTCAAAATAATTAAATGTTAATTCTAAAATTTAATTTGGAATTAACTTAGAGTCACACAAAAAATTGATTTAAAATCCCGAGGCACAAAGCAAAAATCGAAGCTCAAGCTTCGAGCACAATGGCTCGGCCAGTAGGGCTGCTTGCGCCACCCACCATTTTGCTGCCGAGCAAAGTGCGTTGTGTGTGTGCGTTATGTGTGGCTGCAAGCACGCTTATTGCGGAGGGCATGCGAGGAAGGCTGGCATGGCGCGACAAGCACAACAACATTGTGTATGTGCGCCATGTCTGTGCTGGCTGCCAGGCAGCGCCTAGCAGCAGCTTAGCACTCAAGGACAAGGCCGCTAGGCAACACCCAGCACTTGCGTGTGTCCGAGCAGCCGGGGCTGCTAGGCAACATCAGCCCAGGGCCTTAGCTGGCTGCTAGGCAACACCCAGCACTTGCGTGTGTGCGAGCAGCCGGGGCTGCTAGGCAACATCAGCCCAGGGCCTTAGCTGGCTGCTAGGCCTCACAACCTAGCAGCACCCATTTTTTTAATGGGAGCTAAGGGGCCCGATTTTGTGATAGCCGTTAGATTTACCTCGTTTTATTTTGCGATTTTGTTTAAACGAGGTTAGGCCTCGGTTTTTCACGTTCTTGCAATATTTTGACAAAATTTGATTTTAGCGGCTTAATTACTATTTAATTTTTATTAATTTAATTGATTTTGATGTGGAATTTAGTGGGAGATTCATTTATAGGTTTTGAATTTAATTAAGCCTTAATTGTGCTTTTCATTATTGCGTTAGTACACATAATTGGATAAACACTTGACAAGTTTTAATTAGGCATATTAATCAGATTAACTACCTAAGATAGTAAATATGGACCGCGTTCTGTTACGTATTTATGTAAATCTAAATTTGGACTACATGTCGTTAAGTATTTTTGTACTTAGATTATTTAGATTATTAGTCCTAGTTACTCGTAAGTTGCATGCTTAATGGTGAAGTCTAAAAGACGAAGCCTAAAGATGCGATGGTGACGATGAAGATTAGATGCTTTGAGTTTCAAGGGGTCATGCTAGTTTGGCATGCGTCTTTAATTATCTTTTATATATATAATCTTATGTATATAATTGCGATATTAGATGCGTGTTTAGGATTTTGAATGTTAAATGATTAATTTAGTTAACTTAAATCAACCAACATAGAAACCTTAAGTCCCTATGATATTGAATTAAAAGTTTCCATTCTTAAATGACACTTACCGAACTAAAGAGAATAGTAATGGGCTATGCCAAAGTAAGGCATTGCTACTTTCCTAGGGAAGTAAGGTATACTAGGTATATGCATTAGTTTTGAATAAATTCAACAATGTCGATATGGAGTCCTTAGATGTCGTGGAAACGAAGATAAACGTGAAGAAAGCATTAGATGCGATGAATTTATTGAACCAAGAATAGCTTAGAGCTATGAGCAATTAGATTTCTTACCTTAAAATATAAAGCGTTAAGACAAGCCAAAGCATGCTTAATCACTTATTGATTTTTAGAGTCTTGGAACCATTTTATTCTTACCTAAAAGGGTCAAATTTTTTAAAAGTGTGGGTAAAACGCTAAATAAGATTGAAAATTTGCATGTATGCTTTAAATTACTTATTGGTTTTATGAAGGGTTTTTCATTACAAATTCTTTCATTTGAAGCAAAATGTCTGCAACTAACACCAACAACCTGTTTTCACTCCGCTCAATTCTTGATAAGAAGAAATTGAGTGGGACAAACTTCCTTGATTGGAAAAGGAACTTGCGAATAGTTCTCATGCAAGAACTAAAGGAATACGTCCTTGACGAGGAAATGCCAGATGCTCCTAATGTAGGGTTTCGTAGTGACCCAACACTACGCGGAAGGAAACCCCCCAAGACCCGCCCCTTAATTAAAGAAATTAACAAGCATAATAAACTTAATCAAACAAGATTAAGAACAAGAATTATTCCTTTGTTGCGTGCTTCGCTCCCGAAGATCTCCTACTTCAAAATACCGAAACTACGAGATCTCTGACGGATCGTACCCTTGACCCGACCCGAGCGTCCTAAGTCTTGAAGGTTAGTCAAGACCCGGACAAAACAAAACTATGAGTTTTACGAATCAAAGGTTTACTCTAATTATAAGAGTTGCCTTTTTAATTCCACTCAAGGTTGTGTATTTCCCAATACCATGCCTTTGGTATTTATAGGGAAATGCATCCTTGACTTCCAATCTCCCATCAATGTGGGAGAGTTGGTAAAATCAACATTTATTTAATTCTAAATTAAATAAATAATCAACTTAATCACACACTCCCACACTACGCACACCCACGCATCCAGCCCCATAATCGCAATGCCTAGAATGCGTGCTGCTAGCGAGCCACGCATACTAGGCTTAACGCTGCTTGCTAGCTCTTCCTCGCACACACTCGCACATCCACACGCAGCAGCCTCGGCCATGCACCACGCACTATGCATGCATTAGCCTCGGCCATGCACCACGCACCACACATGCGCTAGTGCCTAGCACTAGCTGTGCTTGGTGCGTGTGGTCCTGCCATGCGCGCCCAGCATTGTGCTAGGGCTGCGACGACACCCAACCATCCTAGGGCACGTATAGTGCGCCTAGAGATGCTGCCTGGGCTGCGATGGTGCCCAGTCACCCTAGGGCACGCATGGTGCGCCTAGCGATGTTGTATGGGCTGCGACGGGTTGTGATGAGCTGCGATGGTGCGGCTAGCACACCTAGTGTTCTTAGGCTTATGCCTAGCCATGCTAGGTGCATGTTAGCTCGAACTAGCCTACCATCCACATGGCTAGGCCAGTGTGGTGCTAGGGCTATGTTCATACTTGTCGCTTTGTGATTTTGCGACGCTCGGTCTCGACGCTCTAGGCACGTTATCCAACGTCTGTATTCGTAAAACTCTGTCGACTTATTAAATTCTTTCAGATTAATTCGTCGTCTCAGATCGGTGATTCGATTGGGTTCGGCCCAAAGGGTTCAATTAAGATTAAGCTGTAATATCAATTGTACCTCGATATTACTGATCGGAAGCGGCCTCCACCTAGGCATTCCGGTCACTTGACCTTACTGAAGAATTAACTCTGTAATAAATCTGAACCCTCTATCGAAAGAATACACTGGTTGGAAGGACACCATTCCTTTCACCTAATTAATGAGGTCGCACAAGCACAGGCAAATCCTTGAGAGCAAGCTCAAGAAAGGAGAGCTCGTCAGCCCTCATTTGCTCAAAATGATTGGATTATTCG